GCTCTGTCCCCCAGGCCGAGGCTGGACGTTCCTGAGTTCTTTTTGAGAATGACCGGCCAACATGTCACACACTGCCTCACGGTGGCCGGGCCACACCATCTCTCCTTGGCGTTCTGATGCTTTCTCAAGAGGAGTTAAATCCAAAGAGCTTATTAAAGTCAGGACAAATTATATCTCATTTCCCCTGATGGATGAGGCTTGCCGCGTGGTTGAAGGGAGGAGGAAAAATCAGGCGGGCTGGCCGGAAGCTTTATTCTTCCCGAAGCCCGGGTGCTTCCTGCTGTTCCTGTGGAGTCCTGACAGACTCCAGAATTATGTGCATATATGTTGCAATAATTTTCCAAATTAGGCTGACAAATAATTTTATGAGCTATTCTCTTCCCCTCTAATATACAGGCATTGAAATTATTATCTTTCCAGCTGCAAGGGCCAGCTCAGTCCTACAGGCTTGGTCAACACACGGCACTAGCAGCTGTGGGTCACCCCAAGCCCAAGGAGAGGGGCCCCACTGGCCACAAGCACATTCAGCTGGCGCCCAAACAGACCACGAGCTGAGGCCCTGAGGCCAAGGGCCCGAGGAACCGTGGGGCTGGTGTCTGCTAATTCTTACGTGGGCAATTCCGAAGGATCATGAGGCCCTCTGCATGTAGCCAGTCGTGAGACAGAAGGTCACACGATTTTACGTCTAGAAATTGCATATCCTCTGCATTTGACTCCTCAGCAGGAGTCGAGGTAGAAAGCAAGGCAGAAACTGCTAGCTAGCTGCCCTCCACTAACTGTCCCCCTTCCTTCCTTAGCAACGGGCAGAAATGTATCCAGCCGAAAGAGCACCAGACTTTCCGGCACAGAGATATTCCATGAATTGTAAGCTTAAGTCAACAGCAGATGGAACTTCTAAGAAAGTTCTTCAAAGACGGGCACACCTGCATAGTTGGCCACAGGCATAACCCTCTCTCTTTCTCCTTCTAGAATGTGGGCCCGACAGCCGGCATCCCAGTAGCCAGCTCGCAGCCATGAGGCAAACGCTAAAGACGGCAAAACGAAAAGAAGGAGGCTGACTCTCTGGGGACCATGGGGCTGCCACTAAGACCCCATGCAGCCCAAGGCCCACTCTTGATGGGAGGAAATAAAAACACCCCTCCATTTTGTTTCAGCTGTTACCAGCTGGACCCCATTTCCAACCACTGTGGACAGCAGAACCCTAACTCCTCTGCTGCGGTCCCACCACGTAGATCCCAATAAAGCCCCTTTCCACATTGACGGCAGGTTCCTCTGAGTCTCTCGGCTGGCAAGTCTTTGAAGCACGCTCGTCACATGGATCTTGTGGACAGAAGGGGAGCAACCACACCCGAGCGAAGCTGGCTTCGTTGGTAGTTCGTGCTCTTCTGTCACAGATGTTAGTCCCCCTCCTGGGCTAGGCCGCAAGTCCCCAGGATTGACAGCATGTCCAGTGTCTTCCCCACTCTCGGGGCCAGGGCCCATCCTGCGACACTGGGCCTGCAGTAGGTGCTCCCATCACTTCTTGACGTTTTCCTATTGGCAGAGAGATTGAGCCCGTTTCTCTCGGTACAACTGCCCCTGCAGGAACATTCAAATAGGAAGTTGACGCCCGGCGTTGCCCTGGAAGGAGGAATGGGGAGAGCACAGCAACCAGGTATTTGTGTAGGAGCTCAGGGCTTTCCAGGCCTTGCCCTTGTCTTCTCTCACACCCGCCCGTGAAACAGCCCAGGCAGACGGTGTTACAGGTTATAATTTTACAATGGGGAACTTGCGGCTCACAGAGCTTGATGTGTTTCTTGAAGGCAGGTAAGTAGCAACTATGGAGTCAGGCCTTGATGGACTAGCAAGAAAGGGCTGTTTCTGGACAGATGTGAGCAAGCACATGTGGGAAGACAGCTCACAAACCCTTGCTCTCTGTCATTGTCTCCCTAAATTATTCATGGCGCCTGCTGTTGCCATGTTTTCTTCCTAATGCCTCACCTTTTAATCAGATCATTTTTTATCGGGTTTATTCCGCCCCTGCTCCAGACCAGGTCCCCTGCCCCCACTCCCCAGTTCTTCCCATCCGCACGTCTAAATCCTCTCTCTCTTTTTTTTTTTTAAAGATTTTATTTATTTATTTGACAGAGAGAAACACAGCGAGAGAGGGAACACAAGCAGGGGGAGTGGGAGAGGGAGAAGCAGGCTTCCCGCGGAGCAGGGAGCCCGATGCGGGGCTCGATCCCAGGACCCTGGGACCATGACCTGAGCCGAAGGCAGATGCTTAACGACTGAGCCACCCGGGTGCCCCTAAATCCTCTCTTATGTGTGTCCTGTCTTGGGTGGGAACATTGATTCAGGGACAGAATTTACAAGCTGGTTCCCCTTTGTTCAGCTGTGGGGTGACGCTCCTGGGGAGCAGGGCTGGACCCGCACAGCGGCAGCGCATGGCAGGCATGGGGTTGGCTGCCTCCCCTGCACGTGCACCGCTGCCGACACCTGTCAAGCACCAAGCACGCCCAAGGGACAGTATCCCAACACTGCAGTCAACAAGGGTCTCACCCCTGATTTATCCTGGGGCTCAGGCTTGCCCCTCAAACAAAGGAGGGTCAGGGTGGACGGTGCTTCCTGGTGAAGACTCAGAGGCTGTTGCAAGTCTGAGAAGTTCTATCGGGTGACCAAGCATTGGGTGTAGGATGAGGTGTACGGCAGGGTCTGGAAACAGCGGGAAAAGACCCACTGCATTTCAGAAGCACGGGGTCCTTTCCCTAGGGTGTTACAGTCACGTGAGCACCCAGGAAGAGACTAAAACATGGCTAGAGAAGAGGGCTCGTGTCTCCCAGAGGGAGGACAAAGACGCCCGTGTTTCCTATGCCCACGCCGGTTAGGAGGGAGCACCATCGAAGCAGAAATGCCTTCAGGGAGGGAAGATGTGAATTATGACCACTCCCCTGGGTACCCCTGAGACCTGCAGGGGCTTCGGGCTCAGGGCTCCAACACCAGCCGTGCAACGCCCAAAGGAAGACGACCCAGCTGCATAAGCTGAGATACGGATGGGGAAACTACACATGGGGCATCAATCAGGGACGTCAGCTCATCCAGAGTTTAAAAAAAGAGCAATACTATGAACCATACTTGCGCAGAGAGCTGAGACGCCAGGTTCTCACCTAGCGGAGGAAAGCGAATCCTTGCGCCAAGCAGAAGCATCCTCAGTCAGTCTTTCCATCCCAGAAGTGGGAGCCTGCCCACCTGCCACCTCTGCCTCGGCCGGCACCCTGGCGTTTCAGAGCAGCTAAGCTCCAGCTAGCCAGTGTTCAGTTCCCTTATGTGTGAGTGGCTGCAAACCAAATCTGCCCTGTTCGAGCCGGTGCCCTGCCAGCAATCCGAGGAGGGGCTGGGCCCCTCCGGTTCTCACGCCCAGTCCCACGCACAGGGTGCTATTGCGAGGCTCTTGGGGGGGACAGAGGTAAAGCTAGTTTAAAAACGATGAAGAAGCGCCCAAACATACCAGCCCACCCTTCTCGTGGCCAGCATCAGCTCAGCAGGGAACCCGTCAATTCATGGTCAAATCATTGCCCTTCGGCCTGGAGTCCCTGTGGCTGCTGGGGCTCCCCCTCGGCTCGCCTGCACACGCACCGACAGGTTCATCCTCCTCATTTAGCATTTGCTCCTCCCCAGTGCCAACCGAGTCAAAGCCAAACTCTAAGTCCACAAGCCCTTCTTGGCGAGGTGGAGATGTGCTTCCTCATGCCCGGCACAGGACTCAGATGCTCCAGTACCAAAATGAAGCAGTCACAGTTAACAGCAATAGAGGATTGTTAAAGGCAATATTCATTATTTTAAGTATTTCCAAATTTATTGTTATTTTATCAAGTAGATGAATTAAAGCAAGCATTAATTGTCCAGGTGCTCAGCTGTCTCCACTTTCCCATGAGTAATTAAGCCTCACGTGCAGATGAGCGGGTCCTTCCTGGCTGTCTTGCATTTTAAATATTCCTGCCAGTGAAATATTTCCCTGTGGAAGCAGAACTGACTACGCTTCATTTATAAAAGAGGCTTTATGGACTTACAGATGATGACAGACAGCCAATCGATAAGGGGTGATATAAATAGTATGTAATATCAAGGAACATTAGGTCTCTGGCATGATTTGTGGAGAGAAGTGGGCAGTTGGAAACCTTATCATTTGAAAAAGGTCAAGGCCTGGTGGCTATAAAAACGCCTAAGCAAATAAACTCACACCTGTGAGTCGGCAGAGGCTAAAAGTGCTGAATGAGAGGAGTTGCCCATTTTGTGGGGAATTGCTTCCCTGGACCAGGACCGGGGTGCTGTGGGCACACGCAGCTACTCCAAGACAGGGTCCACTTTTTCCTGCTGAGCCTTCCTGCGGCTGAGACCCAGGTCCTCCAGAAGACAGCAGGGATCAGCCTTAAAATGATGGGGTTGGGGTGTAGCCTACGAAGGTAGGACCCACCAGCTCTATGTCATTCTGCCTGGCCATTTTGGGGAGGGTGGGCGTGGGGAGGGGTTTTTTACCAATTTAGTAAATTGTTTGGCTTGTGTGACTAAAAAACAAAACAAAACAAAACAAAAAAAATGCACCAAGTTGTAAATTCCTTTACCAGTAATCACCGTGCAGTACTAAACACAAAATTCTAAATAAGCCCTCTCTTTGAAGAACATCCACGGTATCGCCTGGGACTCCAGGGAGAGCTTTACTGTGAATCGCACCATTGCTCTATTTAGAAACAGGCGGTGGCATGATCTTTCTGAGAGCACATGCACTAGCTGAAGGGTGCGTTACCACCCAGAAGACAGCAGCTAAAATGTTGTCTGTGTCCTTCCATAATATAGCTATTGTTTAAGAATAGAGAGACTGAATAATGTGAGTGATGAATTTCCTTCTCATTGCCCCCAAGAGGCTCGGGCCCTTTATTTTCATTTCTACCACGCTCCAGACAAACCCGGCGTGTCCTGCTCCCCAGCAAAGACCGGGCAACTGCGCAGGAAGGCAAGCTTACCTCCTTGGAGGGTGTATTCAGTCACGGCCCTGCTGAAGACGCCCAGGCCCGCCCCGTTGTAGGCTGCCACTTGGATCTCGTACTGCGTCCAGATGATCAGCTCTGTCACCAGGCAGTAGGTGACCTCCGGGCTGGTGATGTTGCGCTGCTGGTGTTCTCCCGGCAAGCCTGCCAGGCGGTACCTGCAGCAGAGCAGGGAGAAACGGCTGGAAACAGGCAGCGGGCGCACATGCACTCGCTCCGTGCAGTTGGAGGGAAACGAAGTAAATAGACAAGAGTGAAGCCAGAGGTCAGCCCCAGACAACACGGCTTCCTAAGCCAACCATTCCAAAAAGGGGTCGTTGAGTCTCACAGCGATTATAAGATCTGGGCAAAACGGTTAAGGAAAAGTGATGGCTTTTTAAGTGTAACTCGTCTGGGGAGCACAGTGACTTAGTACCAAAAGTTCCAGCCATGATTTCTGCCGGGGTGTTGCCATAAATGACAACTTGGGAGCAACACTCTCCTCCCACGGCTCTGAAATGTGGGGAGAAGCAGAGAAGCCCCGTGGTCTCCTCTTCCATCTGGGCTTCTAGATTTGTTCACGTGGGTCCCAGCACCAAAACGAGTGGCTCTAAAGGGTGTTCCCGCTTCTCCAGTACTAGTCCATCGCTACAGGACAGGCTGCTCTGTAGGGGAGTTTCCCAGACGAAGTGGGTGAAGGGGTTAATTGTATGGTGACAGGCGGTGGCCAGACTTACCGGGGCAAATACTCTGCAGTGTATACAAAGTGAATTATTAAGGTGTACACCTGATACTAATACAGGGTTACAGACCAATTTTACCTTGATGTTAAAAAAGGAAATGTGTAAAGAGAATAATTCACTCCCCCCCCCACCAAAAGACATAAATCTAAAGTTGTATTTATTTTAAAAAGTGACATACACGACTCTGGACTTAGAAAATGTATAAATTAGGAAATTGCCATGTGTGCTACGGAAGGACTTTTGTAGCATTATTTGGAAGAGCAAATGTTTTTCCTGATTTTGTTTTTACAAGTGGATTGGTTTCCCGGGGCTGAGCGAGGGGCATGTGCTGGGAGGACCTGCCTTGGTCATCCCGCGGCTTCAAAAACACCCAAATCCTGTCCAAGCAGCAGCTCTTTGCCTCGGGAAGATGGGGCCTCGTCTGATGAGGGGGAAGGGTGAAGACGGAGGGGACACTGAGCAAGGGGACCCTTGACGGCGGGCTGGGGTCCGGTTCCCCACCGACACTGAGCACCACCGCAGGCTGCAGAGGATGCCCTGTACCCTGCGCCGTCCCGGGCGCAACGCCGGTGCACGAAGGGGAAGGCCGTGCCAGGCTGCTGCCATCAGGAGAAAGAAGAACCCCCCAGATTCAGGCCCTTCCATGAGAGAATGGCAGCTACACATACGGTACGGAAGTACGGGGAAGGCAGTAAAAGGTTCTTGGTGAAAATCCGGATTTTCTGAGGGCAGAAAGAGCTCCTGTTGCTATAGACTGTACAGGCGAGGCCTGTGCAGTGGGAAGACACAGGGTCAAGAGCAGGCAGCACTGCACAGCAAGAAGGTTCCAGGCCCCCTGCCTCCTTCTGCCTGAAAGCAGCAGCTCGTGGGGCGGGGGGCGCGGGGCCGTGGGGGGATGGCCATGCTCCTCTGTGAAGGGCAAAAGCGAAGGCTGATGTCTCACCCCGCATTTTTGCCTCATAGTCCATCCACTTCTGACACCTACTGAATTGATATTCCTTTACTGAACTGCCTGCACGCAGCAAGTGTGGGTGCGCTTCCTAGCAGGGGGTTAGGTTCGTTTATATGACAGCATGGTCTTCAAGGCGGCCCACAGGGAGAGGTCTGGCATCAAGTAACCCACGTACCAGATATTCACCCTTAAATTCCCCGTCTACAAAATAAATAGCACTGAGACAATTAGCCATTTGGAAGAAGGTAAGCATCAGCCCCACACCCAGGGTCACCTGGCATGTGAATGGTGCCCAGGACCACTTACAACCAACATGGCGCGTGCTGGGCACAATCGCTTAAGAAGAGCTCATTAGTGTGGACCCATCACTACACAACACACATTCCAGGGAAAAGCAAAGAAGTTAGCTCCAGAAGGCTTAAGCTGGGAAGAAGACTGACGTGCCGCGTGGCCTCAAGCAAAGTCCTAACGTCTCTGAGCCCTGGTTTTTAACTCCCGAAAATGACATCATCATAATGGCCTTTCACAGGGTTGTCGCAAGAATAAAATGAAACAATGGGTGCCAAAGAGCCGTGACAGTGTAAAGCCCGCTGTAAATATTTCTGGTTTGGAAACACTGCGCATCTAGGAAGGATGCTAAGCCAAGACACTAAGTCGTATCCTCTCCTACACCCCTGTTCATACAATCGCGCCAAACAAGCCACGGGATTCGTGTCTTGGAAACGGGCTGCCCTCCTTTCTGCTGCAGGCAGGTTGGTCCATTCTGACCCGTGGCTCAGGGTGTTTTTGTAATATTCACAGGATATCTGGGAAGGTCACAATTAATAAGGAAAGCGCAGGGCATCGTCCTCTGACTGGTGGGATATGTTGCCCGGGAGACTGTCTCAGACAGAGTAAGATGATTTTTTTATACGGAAATAAACAGGAGAATGTTTTTAAAGGACATAACCCCTATGCTCCTCTCAAAGAAGCACCCTGCCCATTATTATAAATATTTTATTACTGCGCACACATCCTAACTACTTCTTACGGCTGGAGCCACAGCAATGATTTATTTCCATTTTGTTTCTTTGTGGATTCTGCTGTGCCTCTGACACAGACACTTGAGCCCTGGAGGATACACAGTTGCAAACAGAACTGATTTGCAGACCGGAGGATTATTCGGAAATGTTTCCAAGCAAATTCATTTTGGCATGGGTCTTTAATTTCTGAAAACTTTGAAATTCACAGGCCTTGGGTAGTGCACCCTCATTTTATGACTTCCTTGATTTAAACCCCTACAAATACAGACACCCTCTCTCCCAGCACTTGACACCATCACACAAAATCCTTTTAATGGTGATAATCCCACAAAATAGAGAAACGTGCAGTTCCTGATGGGGCCTTGTAACATCAGAGAGATTTTATTATAAAAGTCCTGGCCCCGAGCTTGGTTCTGTGGGTTGACTTTTAAAGTCCTTACTTGGCAGCTGGAGCCTGAGGAACCTTCTCTGTGTGCTCAAGACGAGGCGGAGGCAGCCGGGATGCCAAGCGTGTGTAGGGCCGTGTGGGGAGGGCAAGGAAACTATTTTTGTTAGCTGACGGGCATGGGACCTGAGTGACAGCTGGAGTGAGGGGCCAGTGGCACGAATGGACAGGAGATCTGGGCCTGTGTCAGTGGGAAGCCCCAGCCTGTTTTCGGGAGGGAACTGGCAACTGCCCCGAGCCCACAGGTGCCCCTTGCCCAAAGGGGCCAGTTCAGAGTCTCTTGTTCAAAGGGGGGAGTGCACTTGGGGGCAGAGTGACCAAAGGGGCCCCAAGTGCTGATTCCAGTCCTCCAGCCCCCATGTATCCTGAGGGACGGCCACATTTCAACCACTTCAGGTAGATGATGATCTAGCTTGTGTTGAGAGGATAATTCAGATGCTTGAGGAAGACTTGAGAAGAGTAGCGAAGTGGTTGTGATGGGCTAATAAGACGTGCATGTGCATAAAGGTGTGTTAAACCAGGAGTGGATGATTACATCAATAGATACTGGAAGGAGCAGTCCTCCATATGCAAAGAGCACAGAGCTAAAGAAGCTACACTTTTGTAACTAAGACATTACATTTAGCCCCTTTCGACCTCTGTTAACCCAGTATTTGCTGACCACAAGCTCAGCAAGGGCACGGGCCTGGCACTGGGAGGAAGGCAGTGATGGACACCCACGGCTCTTGCCTCATAAGGCTGCGGAGGGAGACAAAGTGCATGTCTTTGAACAAATACGTCCGTGGCTGTACCATCTGTTAGAAGAGATTTCATAAATACCCTTTAATATTGCTTTACTTTTTCCTGTTCACTACTTGCAACAACAAACCACTGCAATTATCACATTTGGTGCAATTTCAAGATTAGCAGTAGTTTTGGCAAAACAGATTTCTTCTCTCTAACCCAGCCAAGTTCTTGTAGAGTCCTCTCAATGTTATTAGAAGCCTGACTGCCCCTTGTAAGGCAGAGAAAGAAAACTGGCCATCCGTTAGGCCATATCTGGTCTGTGGAGGTGTGAATTTGGCCTGCTCTGTTTCAAAACGTACTGACTTCATTTCCAACGTTTAGAAACTGTGAGATCACGTGTAAAAAGCTAGATTTTTAAAAATTTTTTTGAAACACTAGAAAACCTGGCAATACTGAACAACACAGGAGCTAGCCTGGTAACAACTGGCCAGCAATGAAATCAACTGCATTATTATTAATTAAAAATTATTCTATTAATAATGTATGCCCCTGGTAAAAACTAAAACAGAAAGAAAAGATTTGGAATGAATAGCATAGCTTGACGCAAACCTATAATATCCCTCTTCATTCTTCTACCAAAATGCAACCACTGATACATATGTGGACATGCTATGGTTGGATACGCAGAGGCTGCCCCTGCAAGACCGCCCACAGTTGCTTGTTTGCCACAGTCCCCACCACTCCCTAGAGTATGACACCGGCCTGATTCTCTTGATTACTGTTGGGCTCCTATAGACCTTTGAGTTTGCAACCCCAGCAACACAGCCCCCTGACTCTTTATAACGACAGTCTAAAAATGGCCAAACACAGGCTACTTGCCTGAGGATGTACCCACGCAGCACCCCATTGTGCTCTGTTTCTGGGGGTGGCTGCCACTGGACCATGATGGACTGATTGGTCCGCCCACTGGCCACGATATTCTTTGGGGGAGCACTGGGCGGCTCTTCAGGTAACATCAACCTAGAAATAGAATATGGGGAGGGAAAGAGAGATCAGCATCCGAAACAAACGGTCCCCATTTGCATTCTCTGTCTGGCTGAATCTGGAGCCTAACTATTTACCAAAATCAAGTGATGAACAAAGCAAAGCACACAGCTGATCAAACTCAAAGGACATGCATGAAATAGGTACAGCAAATCAACCTAATAGAGAATCAGTACAGCCAGCAACCAGGAAGACACAGGAGGTGACCTTATTCTGTCTGGACAACCCACAGCACCTCCACTCTGGGAAGGGATTACAAGCCTGAGTGAGCCAGACCGCCGGCCCACAGCCTGAGACACCTACCAAATTTTTTTTTTCTTTGGCTCTTTCAAGATTTCTCATACCAAACGCCCACATTTTGAAAAAAGTCACTTAGGTCTCAGCTCTTCCACTCTTTGGGCCCAGTGAATGCTCAGGTTGGTTGGGGAGGGCACACTGAAATGGGGTGAAGCCATGGTCCCAGGTCAGGACCACTCCAGGGCACGCCGTGCCCTGCCAGACGCTCACTTGTCAAGATGGCGGCACCAGCTCCCGTTCCGCCGGAAGTCCGGGTGGACAGAGGGCGCGAAGACACGGTCAGCGCCTCATCTCCTCGATACAGGGGGCTGTGCTCTCAGGAACGCCTTGTGTTGGCACAGCCAGAGCACCACGGAAGTCGGAGAAACTTCCCTCAGAGCAATGAAGGAAAATCAGCTCGTCTGACACACAAGTGACCGTGTTTCTCTCACGTTTTTGCCACTATCCCTAAGGGACGGAGGTTGATTCCTCCCATCAACCTCCTCCTCCTAACTGGATGCTTGGTCTTGCTTCCGGGCCCAAGCTGCCCCGCGTCCCCACCGCGGGCTACACGATCACACACCTGCTTGTCTCTGGGCTGTACTGGCCCTTGCCCACTTGATTCACGGCACACACCCTGAATTGATAGGTGCGAGCTGGAGTCAGGCCGCGCACGGTGACGCCTGTCATCTCGGGACCGACGTTTGACAGATGTACTTTCCATGGAGAGTCTGAAAGAATGAGCAAAAGGAATTCAGAACCATACAAGCACATGTCTGAATAATAATAAGGGAATGCAAACTACATTTCCATCACTTCTCTCATTTGCTCTCCTGGGCAGATGGAGTGGTTATCCCCATTCCACAGAAGGGGAAACCAAGGCTCGTGGCCACGTGGCTAGCTTCCGGTAGCCACTGGGCCTGGCCCTGAACCCCAAGACCACCCATCGTCCTCACGCTGCTGTCAGCAAGTGAAGTGGCTTTTCCTTCAACCTGCATATGGCAGTTTGAACAGAACCAAAATATTCCTCATTCCCGCGTTCCCTGTCAGCTCACACGGTGAGGCAGATTGCAGATTTGTCTCCCAGAAAAGGATGCCGCACATGTCACCAAATGATAAATAAAAACTATATTCATTAACATTTTAATAAAAGAGGAAATGAGCATGATAAAGACAGATGGGCTGTGCATTTTGCAACCCATCTGCGTGGCGGCCCATTACAGCACCGCACCCCTCAGTGGCTTTGGCTGGAGAGAGACGTAATGGAATTCGCAGCTAGTTTAGAATATCTTTGCACCCAGCTTTCCGGCAGGTGTAGAAGAGTGACTCTGTCAGCCAAATGGGCTCTTGCCTGCAAGGCTTCAGAGGATTCTGCTGGGCTCCCACACCTTTGTGGGATTTTTTTTTTTTTTTGGTACAGAGTTGAAACATGCTTTCTGGCCCGATCATTTAGTAGAATGATGCCCTGGAATGGAACAAGACCTGGCAATGACTTTGAACACCCACTGTCACTTCTCATTTGGAATCGTCATGATGCCTGAGCTGCATTTTCAAGTTATTGGTGAGGTGAAATTGTGAGGAAGGGGTTCTTGTGGAAATCAAACCGTCTGTCTTCTTCCTTGGAAGTGGTGCCCAAATCCCTTTCACCCACGCTGGAGACGGTCAGAGAAAGGAGAGCCGTGATTTCTACTACGGCGTCGGGCAGCGATCGGATTGTGGAGGACACCGGCCATGGGTGCCCTCCACATGCAGGATCACTGCCACTTCGGCAAAAACCTGAAGACCTAACTATAAGGATTCACAAGTCTGTGCCGGGGGCTCATCGGAAATGCGTGCTGCTTCCTTTGGAGTCACCAAGAAGTAACCACAGTCTGCTCCAAAATGAAATGAGCCTCTCAAGGGCAACTTGTGTTGGCTCTCATGCCGAGCCGTCTACCACGAAGCTGGAGTCTGTTAGCTGGATTCCTCGACAAAAAGTTACACCACTCTGGAGCAGGATGCCAGTTGGGCTACAAAGGCTGAATCTTTTTAATTATTTCAAATAAAGCTGCTTCCAAAAATGGCTTTCTGGGAATGCAGTCCTTAGCACCAGCTGGGCATTACAGTGTTCTTGGCTTTTGATTTTCAGTGATATAGGTAATCTACGGTTGACGAGGATCCCCCGCTCTTTGTTTCCTTAAAAGTGCAACGTGTGCATCCCCAGTGAACTACGGAAAACCTCACACTGATTTCTCTTTTTTGTGCTGGGACCCTTCTAGAAGCATCAGACAGCTCATGGTGGTCTGGTTTGCTAAGCAGGCTCCCCTACAGGAAAGAGCCATTTGTCCACATGGATGATGCAAGAGCCCTCCCTTGCATCCATGTAACTGCTGGTGGGGAGCAGCGCCTCTCCCTGCCAAGCCACACTCCAGTAGAGATACAGTTTTCCTTTGGAAGACAACGGATGCAGAGTGGTCACAGTTGACTGCGCTCTTCTGCTGACTGCTGTTCACTTTTGTTTGAGCTTCCTCTGTAAAGCTGGGGGTGGGGCAAACCACAGGGAGATCCACCTCACAACCACGGGGATGGCTACTATAAAAAAAGCAGAAATGGCATGCGCGGGCGAGGGTGTAGAGAAGCCGGAACATTCGTGCACTGTTGGTGGGGATGTGAAATGGGGTGGACGCTGCAGAAACCAATATGGCGGCTCCTCAAGAAACTAAAAATAGAAATACTTCAAAATATATACCCCAATGAACTGGAAGGACGGTCGCAAAGAGATATTTGTTATGAACCCAAGTGTCCATTGATGGATGGACGGATGAACAAAATGTGGTCTAGCCCTACAATGAAATATTATTCAGCTTTGAAAAAGAAGAGATTGACACACACTCCACCTGGGCTAAACCTTGAAAATAAGGCAGTCACAAGAAGCCAGGTAGTGTAGGATCCCACTGATGAGGTCCCTGGAGGAGTCAGATCCACAGACACAGAGGCAAATGGTAGCTGCTGGGGCGGGGGCGGGGGGGGAGATGGGGAGTCACGTTTAATGGATACATGGTTTCAGTTTTGCCAGCTGAGAAGGAGTCTGGAGATGGGTGGCACAATGTGAATGTACTGAACACCACTTAACTGTACATTTAAGAACAGCTAAGTTTTATGTTATGCATATATCACCACAATGAAACTTTTTTTTTTCCAGTGGGGCAGAAAAAATGGGGAAATAACACAGAGCTCCCAAAACTGTCATTGGTTTGAAGTAAGAGAAGTGAGCTGATGCATCCAGGCTCTGCGGGATGGGCCTGTCCCCCTCCCACCGCCCCTTGTCCCTCTCTACCTCCCCACCCCGTTCCGGGCCCTGGACGACCTGCCTGGCAGAGCTGGGCTCTTTCTTACTCACAGGGAGATGGCCCAGGACTATCACATTCTTCCCCCAAATGTTCCTGCTCTTCCTCCCTCTCTGGGCTCTGCTGCTCCCTTGCCTCTGTGTCCTGAGTCAGCCGGCTCCAGCCCCGGGCTTCCCGGGGTCTCTCTCCACCCACACCTGGGCAGACCTTCTCTTTACAGACTCCCTCCTTAACTGCTCCAAGTCAAGAGGGCCACCTGCTTCCTGTGGGACTGATGCAGCGCTCAATAAAACTTATCTTCCATCCCTCTCTTCCTGCAGACCTCAGTGTCTGTAAGTGAACGGCTCACCTGCTCATTCAGGTGCAGAGTTCAAGGTCAGAAAGAGGCAAACTCAAAAGGACGGTGGCCGAGTCCGCTGTCAAAGCCAATGCGTGTCAGCATGAAGTGGGCAGAGAGCACCCCACGCCGCCTCTCCCACCCCACATGCCCTCCCTCCCAGGTTCCACTCAGAGTGTAAACAGCTCCTCCAAGTGTGTAACCTGAGCAGCAGGATCTGCGGCCCCATCTGACTTGGCAACAAGGGCCTATTAATCTGCCCTGTACCCAGGGTCTCGGCTCAGTCCTCCGGATACGTCCACAGAGCTCTATTTATTCTTTTCCCTCTCCCTCCTAGAAGATAAAAGGTCTGGCAGGAAGAGAGATTAAACTGAAAACTAATACAAATGAACCCGATCCATCTCATGGGCACTCTGATTTGTACTAAAAAAAGAGAAAAAAAAAAGTGTTTTGGGAAGGATTTGCTCCCTCACAAGGCTCTGCACTGCAAGCTTGCTGAGAACTGTTAAAATGTAAAGAGCAGGTCTGTCCCTGACAATCCATAAGCAAAATCCCTTTAAAAGATGCTCCTCCTGGTCCTCAGACAGGAGGGCTCCAAGATGCTCGTTGGAGGGGCTGGGATGTGGAAGATTCTTTTGATAAAGGAAACCATCCCATAAAAGTTTCAATAGCTTTTTTCCTCCCCTTCAGGGATGCCTCTTGCACCTCTGATCTCGAAGCTGAAGGAATTTTGGTATTCCTCAGCCAGGCTATTAAACAAACTTCTACCCCACATGGGCATCACTGATCTTTCTCTTGGCTTCAAGGGCTCAGAATCCGCAAGGAGTTAATCACTCCTTTGCTCTGTCGATTGGTGAAAAAGCGGGTGGTTTTCAATCGTCACAAATGTACTAGAAGCTTTTTTATTTCCAATAAAAAAGAGCCTTACCATGTTCTCAATTAAAGGTATCTGAGGAAGGAAAAGACTTTTTCAAAGAAAATTTTCATTGCCAGAAGGAGCAGAATTATTACTGACACCTGATGTCTGTGTGGCAGCTTGCAATCTGGACGTGAATTCACAGCTGTAACCATGCGAATCTTCTTGGGGAGGAGGTATGTACGAGAGGAAAACCCAGACTCGGAGGTATAAATAACGCCCCCTGGCCTTACAGGCCACCACTTCCTAGACTTGGGAGCGGATTGAACATCACTAAAAGAGCAGCTGGACCTCCAGCGTCTCCTTGTGAGATGCAATGGGAAGTACTGAGCAACACCCAGGCAGCACTGACGTTCACACACACACAGACACACACATGTGATCTAAGAAAACACACGAAACCAAAAGCTGATGCAAACTCATTCTGGTCTCTGGGCAATTAAAGAGATGCAGGAACAATTAAATGACACCACGAGTAAGCAATTGGTGTGGGACATTCTGCAGGACAGACACCCTGGTCTCTGCACGAGATGAGAGCAGGGGAAAGGGACGTGGGGCTCTTGTCAATCAAGAGACAGAACCACCAAAGCAATGGACGGACCTTGTTTGGATTTGGATTCAAAAGAATCAACCATGAAAAGTCAATTTTTAAAAAAGCATTTGAAGATGACACAAAGAAATGGAAAGACATTCCATGCTCATGGATTGGGAGAACATATATTATTAAAATGTCTATACTACCCAAAGCAATCTGCACATTTAATGCAATCCCTATCAAAATGCCAACAGCACTTTTCACAGAGCTGGGACAAACAGTCCTAAAATTTGTATGGAACCACAAAAGACCCCAAATAGCCAAGTAATCCTAAAAAAAAAAAAAAAAAAGCTGAAGGCATTACAATTCCGGACTTCAAGCTCTATTACAAAGCTGTAATCAACAAGACAGTATGCTACTGGCACAAAAACAGACACATAGATCAATGGAACAGAGAATGCCCAGAAATGGACTCACAACTATATGGGCAACTAATCTTTGACAAAGCAGGAAAGAATATCCAATGGGAAAAAGACAGTCTCTTTGACAAATGGTGTTGGGAAAACTGGACAGCAACATGCAAAAGAATGAAACTGAACCACTTTCTTACACCATAC